TGGTGGGGGCAGGTAACCGGCTAGGTGCCCGCGGGATCATGGACGGGCTCCTGCTCGGCGCGCGGGCGTTACCTGTGGCGAGTCTCCGCAGCAGCTCCATGCAAGTCCTGAGCCTCCTGTGGCTGGGGGGCATTGCAAAGGCAGGTCGAGAGCACCTCCTCGGGCAGCCCTCTGGAGTGCTCACATGCCAGGTCACTGAGCCCTTTCTGGTGCTTTTTCTCTCTGCTTCCCCGCTCCAGGGACTCTCGCCCAATACCCCCTTTCTCTTTCTCTCTCTTTTTTTCTCTCTCTTGCAGACCCTTCAGTTGTGCTGCCTCTGTTGCCTGTCCTTTGCAGCAGCTTTAACCAGTGACAGCAGCAGCAGCCACGGACTGAATCATGGTTTGTATATTTCTTTTTTTTTTTGCATGCACGTTTCTTTTTGGAACCTTCAAGAGAGAGAGACTATCTCAGGGGCACAATAAACAGGGAACAAGCTGAAAACTGGACAAGAGCAAAAAGGAAATAAACGCATTTTTAAAACGCAAAGGAAATAAAAATAAAATTGTAAATAAACAAAAACTAGAGGAAATAATCCGCGCAACCCAATCTAAGGGACTGTAGCACTGGGGGAGGGGAACTTGTATAGACAGGTGAGAGAGAGACTATCTCAGGGGCACAATAAACAGGGAACAAGCTGAAAACTGGACAAGAGCAAAAAGGAAATAAACGCATTTTTAAAACGCAAAGGAAATAAAAATAAAATTGTAAATAAACAAAAACTAGAGGAAATAATCCGCGCAACCCAATCTAAGGGACTGTAGCACTGGGGGAGGGGAACTTGTATAGACAGGTTTGTGTGCTGTTCCCAGGTTGCAAAGTCTAGTGTTTTGGTTTTGATGCCTTTTGGAAGCCTGCAATATCTCTCTATGTATTTGCACTTGCTGTGAGGGATAAGTACAGAGAAGAATGCTCAGGGAGGAGAAATAGTGCCTCAGCACTGTCTGTTTGCTGGGGGATTCCCTTTTTCCAGCAGCTGCTTGCATTTTTGGCCACCAGCCTGCTTAGTGTCCTAAGTTTCTGCCATTGATTAACACCACTTAAGGAAAGTGAAAGCCCTTGATGCATTGCTTCCACAGCAAAAAGAAACCTATTACTAGCTAAATTTTCAGTGTACTATGCACCTAATATAAGCTGTTCAAAGAAAGGAGATTAATAGTGTGCAACATCTGCTGCTCTATACAAACACTTTTTTTCCTTTATAAGGATTCATTTCAATTTAAGAAATAAATTGTTTTATTATCAAAGAAATGGATATCCTTAGGCATTCTGACCAGAATACACATGAAAATTTAAGCAGTGTTAGGAAGTAAGCTACTTAATATTTAGGTTTTAATGTAAATGGTTCTATCTGGTTGAGTATGTATCTAACTTCAAGGTTGTAAGTAATCATCAGTTCACCCTGTGAGTAGCTCAGTGGGACTACTACAGTGTTTAAAGTTAGGCACATGCTTAAACACTTGAATCAAGCCCTATATTAATCTCTTCTCCAGATATTATGAGTGGATCATAGTTTTCTTCTCCCAAATATGCACAGAATATTTTCACCTAGCTTAGCCAAAACAACAAATCACTGTGACATTCAGCTAGCAATGGCTGAATAGAGGTTATGAAGTAGGATTTGAAACCTGCCTAATCAAGCCATTACAAAGAGAGGAGGTCTGACTCTGTTAAAGCATTAATAAATTAATCTTTTAATCCAGTTGAATAAATGGAATAATCTTGTTCTCAGCGCTTCTGTTAAACCAATACCAAGGTGACAATATTTACTCCACTCTTGGAAAAATAATAAATAAGAACTACAGACAAAACATCCACTCTTCTGGCATGTGTGGTAGCAGTTATTATAGGGGGAGGGGAAAAATCTTGTGATGACAAATGTCTTCACAAGAGTGACTGTGGGAAAGTTCACAGCTTTGATAGTCTGTTCTTCTCAGTGAGTCAGAAAAGAAATAAACACTGCATTAGAGTCTGTGTGGCTTATATGGAACAGCCTGAAGTTGCATCAGATGAATTTAAGCATGTATTAGTTATGTGTAGTGCATGGATCATTGGTGCCATGCCCTAAATGAGGAAGCTTCATGTCAGATTCAGAGTCTACTTCATAAATGACCACTATGTTTAAAAATGACATATGCTTTATTCATTGAGTACAAAGGCTGATAGTTATCATTTTACCATTACAGATTACGTATTTGTAACTCCTGTCGAAGTGGATTCCAATGGATCATACATTTCACATGGTGTTTTGCACAGTATTAGGAAAAAGAGATCAACTCAAAGTTCAAAGAGTTCCTTGCACTACAGATTTTCAGCATTTGGACAGGAACTGCACTTAGAACTTAAACCTTCTACCATATTTAGCAATAACTTTATTGTCCAGGTACTTGGGAAAGATGGAATCACAGAGTCTCAGGAACGTGAAGTTGAGCAATGTTTCTATCAGGGATTTATAAGGAATGATACCACCTCTTCAGTAGCAATATCTACGTGTCTAGGCTTGGTAAGTGTTTCTTTAAAGCAAATTTAGCGTTAGATTTCTATATTCAGAAAATATCTATGTTTATAAATTATCTGATTCCTGAAACATACAGGATATATTTCATGTTATGAACTATTTTGCAATTTTTCCTAACATCATTAGCTGAACTAGCATCATCATGTTTAACAAGAGAGTTTTAATTGTAGATTATAAACTCTGTCGTTATCATATCACTGGTGTGTTTTGGGGGAAGGGTCACAATTTTAAAGAAAGAAAAAACAGCTGATGGCAGATATATGGAATAAATCCATGAGAATTTTCATTCATTTTCAGAGCAGTGTCAAACTGCTCTGAAAAGATAAATGCCTTTCCCTCATTTGTAAGTAGTCCTTATTCTTACTTCTGTATTCAGATTATTTGTTCAGTAAATTTTTGCAAGATCAGGCCATAAAATCAGAAAAAATTAAACATGTCTAGGATTATCAGGTACCTGAAGGAAGAATGTGGCATCCAACTCTCATTGAAATCCAATAGGAGTTAGGTTTTTAGCTCCCTTAATACTTATTTTGAAAATTCCAGCCTTCATTGATTAATGAAGTGAAGTGATGAATTCTGTTCTGACTATAAGTGTTTTGTCTGCACTATTTGCTATTTACCACTGTTTTCCAAAATCATGAAAAAATCTTACTAACGGAAGCTTTTTTAGACTACATTCTACTGTGTTTTATCATCAAAGAAGTCTTCATTGATACAATGCAAAAGAACATCCACGGAGTTAAAACGTTCTTGTTATTTCTTAGGATAAAAGTCTTGCTTTCCCTGCAGTCCCCCTAAAAAACATGTCTGGTTTGGATCATAGTTTGGATCAAACATTTGGATTGAAGCAATAATATTCATGGCATTAGAGCATATGAGGAGATACAAAGCTTATGAGGTCAGTTGAGATCTGAAGTCCAGAAGAGATGTTGAATGAATTTCCAATTCTTTCATTGAGAGGATACTTGAATATATGACATCACTACTGTGTGACACTACAGAAGAAAAGTGAATTGAAAACATTCATTTACTTTGAAAATAAATAGAGTTTCATTGAAATAAATTCTTTTTGCATTGCATCATATTCAGCTCCCTGGAAATGCATTATAGGATGTTGTTGAGTGCTAGTTGAAATGAATGTGATTATACGTTGAATGCTCTGTTTCTTTTTCTTTGTTAGTAATGGCTACTAAGAGGAGTCAGCATCATCTGTATTATCCAGCTAGCTGGGACAGAGGTTTTGGCAGCAAGTGCTGAGAAATGGAATGAAGTTTTCTTTTTCTTTTTTCTTTTTTGTCTTGTTTGTAGTTCTGATGATATTAAGGTAGTTTGGTTCTATTAGAATGGCTTTATTTCTTTGATGACTTTCTTCATATTTGTTTGTAAACAGCTTTCATTTCCTATCATGAAGTGGTTCCTCTAAAGTAGATTATTTTGGATGATCATAGTTGTTTGTTTGGGTAGGCTTTATATTTAACAAACACATTATTAGCATTATGTGGAATAGTATTTCAATGTGTTGATTCTTGTCTGGAGTACCAGAGTTGGAGTCTGCTTGGGATCACAGGGAAGCTGAGTTCATCAATCTTGACTTAGTTTGGAATAGATCGTTGGTCTTATATCACTGTCTCGCTGAACAAAGTGTCATGACTGGCACCCTTTGCTTAGGAGAGACCCAGAATTTGAATAGCAGGGAGTGAGTATTGTGGTTGAATTGGTTTATTTTGGCAGAGCATGAGGTGTCTTCCAGTACTGCCCATTACTTCTCTAAATTATTTACAAGGTTCACTGGATTAGCCCTAATAATTAATAGATATCTTAAACTGACAATTTTAATTAATCTTCACTCATTATTTTTATAGCATGTTAGGAGTGGGTTATAAGAATAATCAAAAACAATTCTAAGTTTGCTGGGCTGCTTTGCTTAGTAATGTGCCATCATCTGTCTGTAATGAAAACACCAACATCTTTGACTATGATCCAAATTCAGTAATCATACTTTAAGTCTGGATGCTGTGCTGTGATCAAGGGTACCTCGTGAATAGCCTCTATATCCTCTTTGCACCAACTACTTTTGTCACTTGTTTGCCCTTCTTTCCTATTTGCTTTGTTCACCGCAATTAAACCGAAAGTGGTGTTTCTTCTATATGGTTGGTAGCACTAATCTTTTCATTGTTCCTTTCATTAGCAGTAGCTTCCCTACAATAAAACTGCAGTGACCCATTCTTTCAAGCCTGGAACACCACAATGTGATTTGGAAGCAACTGCGTTTCAATAGACTAGAGGGACTCTTTGATCTAATTTTTTTGGATGACCTACAGTATTCAGTCATTCCGTTGTCTGTTATCTGCGATTGCCTGTGGAGTGGCAATGGACTGTTAGGTTGAGTGACCCTGGTGTAACAGTAAAATAAAAAGAAGCAAGGATCTTTTGCTTTGCTGTAGACCTACTAAGAGAAATTTTCATTGAACTATGTGTACCTCAATGAAACCTTGTCATATAGGTTAGTATGATGCAAGTAATAAATTATTGGACCAACATACTTTTTTCACGCTATTTGTAGACTATGACCAAATTTTGCCTGAAGTTTTAAAGTGAGAACTGGTATGGAGATATAACAAAGGGCAGAATGTGGCTAACGATCTTTATTAGAAAGATGGAAGCTCCTGTGTTCCTAACTTCTTCTTCTTTGACTTCCCTGATATCCACCTTACTCACACATATACCTCAGTTTTGCCCTACGATGACATCATCCTATCTCTAATTCTCCCCCTATACTCCCCACTATGTATATACAGGATGTATGTACTCGTTTGTAAACTGTTTGGGTGGGGACTTTGAGGGATTCGTGTGAGATTACACAGTCAATGAGTGCAGACTAGAGAGAGTCCAAGTGTTGTAACTCTGTCATGTGGTTTAGTGGCATTCTTAGTAATTCTCTATATTTGTCACATGTGGGTTTACAGAGTAGGATATATGCTCAAGCTACACAGGATCCTTTCTCTCGTATAAAATCAAACCACCATAGAAAGTTTATGCTGCTGTCCAGTACAGGAGACACAAAAAAGTAGGAAAGGATAGTGAAAGTTTTACTCATTTGTAATCACTTGTGAGGATGTTACTTTCTGTATTGGGAAACGCTACTTAACAAATGCAGTGGAAATGGAAGAGAAACCTGGAGGGCAAAATGATTTTATATTGGTGTCTGATCAATAGGAATTCTCCCATGATTGGTCAATTACGCTATGTCCAGAGCCAATTTAAGTCAGTGGAAAGATTGCTTTTGACTTCAGTGAGTTTTGGATCAGGATCCTATCCTTGAACCAAATTCAGCCCTAAGTAAATATGACATCACTGAGGCCAAAGGAGTTGCACCTGCTTATGCCAGAGCTGAATGTATGCCTTTTTCTCCCTTTTATTTATGTACCTCAATTAGGGCAGTGAAGAGCCAGCTTCATGCATTAGCCAGTGCCCTTCTTTGTTTTTGGTAAGATGTGATTGAATCCTTCATTATGAGGGGCCTCCTTCTCTTGTCTCAAGTTCTGTTGTGTTTGCTGGTGTCTAGTCAAGGGAAGAGAACAAGGAGGAAAGGATGAATCATGTTACAGTCAGTGAGCTGTCAGAGGAGTCTGTGAATAAAAGGTTTGGTTGTAGCACTGTGAAATAAACAGGAGACGTATTAATTCAGTGGGAGCTGTGCGTGCATGTCTGAAGGCAGGACTTAGTTCACAGTATCAAAGAAGACACAAAATTAAAGGTTCTCAGTGTAGTCTGGCCACCAAAGAGACTGGCAGGGAGAGCCATGCACTCGTTCTTCCCGGTCATTCAGTTATACCCCGTATTAGCATTATTGAAGTGCCCATAAGAACACCTATTACTAGAAAAACTTGCGTTTTACATCCAATTCAATATACTGAGATAAATTCCATAACACTTACTTGGGCAAACTGGCAGTGAAATGGATGGGCCAAATTCTGCTCTCATGCTAGTGAACACTTATATTGCATGAGGTTGCTTTAGGCTTATACAGGTGCAAAAAGATCCAGTAAGAGTTTTGGACGATTCAAAACTGATCAAGGAACTGAGGATTTGACGTACGCTCAATAGTATTATTAGTCTATCCACAAGTCAGCAGCAGATACTATAATTAGTGCTCCATTATACCAGAGCAATATGAACAATTTGGACTGCCAGAAATGTACACCGGCCCCCTGAATTCACCCCATACTACAACAGTATAAAAGAGGAGGAAAGAAATTCTCATCTTTCAGAGAACATTTCCTGACACTGAATACAGGCCACATCTAGAATACAGGCAGATCACTAGACCATGCACTGCAGGGCAGAGAAGGATGAGTTGGATATCGGTCCAATGACTTGCCTTTTCTATGTCTGTGTGCTCACTCCTATGCCCATTCATTTCAGCAGTCCAAGATAACACATTCTGATTCTTCTGCTTTCACGGTACTTATAACAAAAGTCATTGAGACTTAGGTTTGGGGCTGTGATCTGCCTTCAGTGGGCAGGAGGGAGAAATACCTTCAGGGTTAGGGCACAATTGCCAGGTTCCTGGTGTCATTGTACATGGATATGGCACAGTGCTCCGTGAAGTTCCCATGGAGTGGGTACAGACTTTACACAGGGCTCCATGGACAGAGGACTGGTGCCTATAAAAACAATTTAGCCCTGTGGGCCAATCCATTTTCTACTACCTATGCACTGCTAAGGCTCATAGAATGGAAATCTGATGCAGCTTCTCACTACAAGGGCGTGGAACAGGCCTAGCTAACTTTTGAGCCAATTCCCATTCCCTTCCTCAAATGTAGGGGCAGGGAGAGGCCACAGATGGAGTGCCCTGAGCTTTCAGCTATCCCTTGCTGGAAGATGATCCATTGAGGGTAACCAGTGTAATTTAGAGTAACCCATAAGTTGCTCTGAGTTACATCAGGGACACATAACCAGCCCCAGGATCAGGGAACAGCACT